GGCGGGCAGGGGGGGGCCCGCCGCATCCTGCCCGTGCTCCTCGCTTATTGGTGGCAGACCTGTGAGTCTTGTGGGAATTTCGAAATTTCCTTGTCCTCGCAAGTTTTATATCATGTCACAATTACAACTATGAAGGCAGGGACGATTTTGAGGACAGGGTTACGTTTTCAAATTAGGGTTTCAAAAAAGGGTTAGGGTCTCAGATTAGATTTTGAAGACAGGGTGAGGGTTTCAAATGAAGAGTTCATGCCTGGATTCGGGTTTCAAACATGGGGAAGAGTTTCAGATTTGCGTTTCAAGCGAGGTTAGTTTTTTAAATTAGGGTTTAAATCCATGCTGCAATTGTAAATAAAGGGTTTCAAGATAGGTTTTAAGATTAGCTTCAAGGCTGGGTTAGCATTTCAAAAGTATAGCATTATAGGTTTTGAAAGATGGTTCGGTTTTCAAAATACGGGTTCACATTTGGTTTAAAGTTTTGTAGAAAGGCTTTTAAATCAGGTTTCAAAAAGAGTTATGACTGTGGCGAATGTTGCTTGCAATCAGCCATTCATTGAAAGAAGAATGGCAAAGTTTTGAAAGTAGGCTAACAAATCTGTGTTATGGTTTCAAATTAAGTCTGGTTTAGGGCTTTAAATTAGGGTTAGGGTTTCAAGGTAATGTTAGGGTTTCATCAGGGATGTGGTTCGAGCCAGGGTTTAGCTTTCAAATTAGGGTTTCATGCCTTTGTTGGTGTTTTAAAACAGGGTTCGGATTTCTGATGAGGGTTATAAATCTGCGTTGTGGCTCAAATAAGGTCTTAAAGTCTCTGTTGAGGCTTCAAATTCGGGTTTGGGTTTCAAGCCTGACATTATGTTTGGGATCCATTCACAATGCTTCAGTGTAAGTGTATCAAAGGACAAGGAGGAGTTGATGTTTGGCCTGTAATGATCTAGTCATTTTTCATGGCGCAGTCCATTAAAAAAAATATAAAAATCAAGCATTGCAGACAGTCGATTATTCATTGCGCTTCAAGTCATTAAAAGTCAATTTTAATAACAATCATTCTTAAATGCAATCGCTTTGAAACCTCCTCATATTTCTAAAAATATGAAGATCGTCGCGGTGTCCTTCGTCCTGCGCTCCCTCGAATAAATCAACTCAGTGAGACAACGCAAACAGGCCCGGAGACACCTTGCTGGATAAGAGCAGAGATTCGGTTACACCTGATAAGATTACATTGGAAACAGAGGGAGGAAGAGGAGGAGGAAGAGGTCGGACACGGCCGTAGTGTTGTGTCACCTGGTACCGACGGCCTTCCACCGATCGGAGGCGCGAGGCAGAGCTAATCCTCGGCTCGGGAGCAAGACGGGCTTCGGGTCAGGACGTGTTGAGAGTGGATGGCCGACGGGGGTCAAAGGGTCGTGTTTACCTGAAGCAGGTATTTCCTCTGGGAACTGATAAGACTCAGGGAGGGGAAGTGCTCGGTTCCAGGTGAGTGCAGAGGGGCCCGCAAAATGACACCGTGCGCACCTAGATGACCCCCGCAACCCCACCCTGCCTCCGAACCTAAACCACCTAACCATCATCAAGCTCCGCCCCCTACACACAAGCAGGTCAGTTCGAAAAGTGCACACCGACATGTCGACAAAGTGAGAAATCCTTGCATCGCCAAATCACTACTTTTCAGTGAATACAGTGGGCCAGTGGTTAGCGTGTCGACCTCACAGTGCAGAGGTACCGGGTTCAATTCCAGCTCCTGCCTTTCTGTGTGGAGTTTGCATGTTCTCCCCGTGCCTGCGTGGGTTTTCTCCGGGTACTCCAGTTTCCTCCCACATTCCAAAAAAAAAGCGTGATAGGCTGATTGGACACTCCAAATTGTCCCACTTAATTTGTGCAAAAGTGATTTATTGACAGCAATGAATGTCACTTTGTCCATCTATCTATGCCAGTGATGTATAGTGACATGCAGAACCATGAAATGCTCGTCTATTAGAGGGCAGAAGATACAATCGACCTGTGTGTTCATCTGTCCCAGTTCATACAACAGAATAACAGCAAAGTGTTCAATTAAACTGATTTTTCACTCTCAGGCCCGGTTTTGAGTAACCTGAGTACGATCATCATTTCAGCAGATAAACTTTATTGTGATGTTTTGGTTTTGCGATGTGCTGGGAGAATTCAAAACAAAATCTTCTCTCGCTTAATAAAGGTTGGTAAACACTGATTTAAACAAGTGTTGCTTTCAAATTTTATGACTGCCTGCAAGACTTGTTAATACCTTGAACACACCGTAAAGTCCTTTTGGGTTTTTTTTGTATTTGTGGATGTTTTCAAAGGAGGAAAAAAAAAATCAGTTCATTTCAGGTCAGTCACAAGATATGTCCGCGATGTCACCGTTTGTTTTTCCTGCTCTTTCTCATCCTCCTTTTCATCACACACATACACACACACACACACACACACTCGTGCACAAATGTTACCTCCCCCCAGGGTGGGACTGAGGAGAGTCAGTGAGCTAGAACATGTTAACAAGCACAGCCTCAACCACTGTATTGAAAGACACACACACACACGCACGCACGCACGCACGCACGCACGCACGCACGCACGCACACACACAAGTACATACATACTTTCGCCACCTGCACATCCAAGGCTAACTGGACAAGGACGGAGTAGCTTTTTTGGGAGGCAAGTGGGGAGGGGCTACGTTAGGGGTGTATTTTGGGGGTGGGCTGGGAGATGACATCTTTTCATAATTAGCCAAAGTTTCTGGTAAAGGGAAGGGTCTCAAAATTGGAGTTCAAGGCAGAATTAGCGTTTCAAATTAGGGCTTGGAGCCAGGGTTCAGGTTTCAAATTGGTCTTTCAAGACAGTTGTTATCGTTGTGGCTGTGATCCATTCAGTGAATTGATTTTGACAATGAAATACGATGACATCCACCACACACATTTTATGCCGACAGCAAACCACTTTTTGTGTCTAAGTATTATGAACTTGATATTGGAACATTTTTGAATACATTTTGGGGTAGACATGGTAGTGATGTTTACTTGGCGTTTGGATGACGAGGGTGTCCATGGAAAACTAAACGTCTGACCTGTGTGAGTCTGAACATCTGCGCCGGCGTGCGTTAGAGTGCCACATTGTGCGTGCTGTACAATATGGTGAAGAGATGGCATGGCTGTTGTGCGCACAATAGGGCAGGAGTGCGGCCCGCCTGCCTGCGTGTGCATGTGAGGTGTCCTCCAAAGTTCTCCTCGGGCCCCGCAGAAAGCCTCATTAGTGGCAAGGAGCTAGCGAGGTAGCACACGGCCGCCATTGTGACCAATCCAAACATCAAGTCCTCTCCATCCGAGCCCCCCACTTCAGAAGCCCCCGACCAAATCCTATTTTTCAGGCTCCGCAGCTGCCCCGCTCTGCCGGAGCACTTAGCCGTGTCATTCTATCCGGCTCTCCGGGCCTCCTCCGAAACAGGCCTGTTTTGTGCTCGCTCGTCTCTGATATGACTCCAGAAATGGAAATGAAGCCATGGATCTTCATTAAGGAGAGGCAGGTGTCCATAGAGACCCGGTCCAGGTGAAGGAACAGCGAGTGAGGAGTGGGTTAAGGTTGGGGGGGGCTTGCCTGGGGGAGGCTCGGCGAGCTGCTGGAAGGGGGCTGGGCAGAATTGGATCAATGAGCGTTTCCTTACTTTACAAACATGTGACTCAATGACAGGTGGAAAAAATACTCACATCCGCTACTCAAGTAGAAGTACAGATATTTGTTTAGAAAAACTGATAAGAATACTCAACTCCTTTAAGTAACTAAAATGGGACAAGAGCAGCCTCGCAAGAACAATTTAAGTGAAAAGGTACAGATTGAAAAATACGGTAAAAAGTAAAAATCCAAGATATTAAATACAGTATAAAGTACACATTTTAACAACGTGGCACAATGAAAACAAACAGAGAATTTTTGAATGTTAGTCGCTGAAAGCACTTTTAAAGCATTTTTGATTGACAGTGGAATAAAATAGTGGCTGACAGTGGCCAACTCATAAAAATGAGTTGCGGAACCACGGCTGCATCACTTGTTGTGCCGCAAGTCCCAATCAGTCAACCAGATCTCTCTTTAGTTAAGCTGGAAGAAGTTACAGGCCTATTGTGACACAGTGAGAAGTCGAAAGAATAGATTTCGGTTTCAAATGTTGGGACGAAAAATAAAATGTCTGAAAAAGAAATAGTCAAGTAAAATGGAGATAACTGAAAATCTTACTTAAAATTAAGTACAGTAACTAAGTAGTTAGCTCGGTCTTGATACGCGAATGGAGAAGTGTTGCTGCCGTTTGACTACACTGATGCACTTTGTCCAGAGTAAACCTGCAAAGCAGACAAGTCGAAGAACTCCCAAGGTTTTATTGCGGCTGTCTGTCAACACACACACACACACACACTCCTTAGCCGAGGCCCCGCATCCTACCATCCACCTCCACCCCAGCACTTAATTGCCCATGTAATGAGCTGCAGTGAATGGGATTACTTGTGTGGAGGCACTTGAGGACCTTGTGCATCGAGGGGCACCTCCTGCAGGCCCTCATCTCCAGGGAATGCATTTTGGATGATGTTTTCTATGACGCATGGCGGGGGTGGGATGGGAGGGGAGGCGGCAAAAAAAGAAAAAAAAACCTCATCTCCTCACCGCATCTGTTGTAGCCGCATTAGGCTCTCCACATCCTCTCCTTCATCTCGGCCTCCTGCCTCGGCCACTCACCCCCGGTGAGCCTTTGTTTCCCTAATTATTCATTACAGCGAGGTGGCCTCTGCTTTGAAACCTGTGGAGGTGGATGAGGCTTGGCGCTGACCCACGATGCACCAGAACATCCTGGAAGCCTGAAACGTGTCCCTTTGTGACGGGACACCTGTTATTTCTCCATCCTTCACCGCGCATTAACAACTCAGGAGAGAACACGAGCACCAAAAAAAAAAAAAAAAAAAAGCTTGTGCGTGCAAAAGGTAATTTTCTTCTTGTTTATGCAGGAACCGTATCGGAGACTTGGCACCGTTAGGCAGCACCGGAAACATGTGAGTTCTCCCAGCGTATCAACGAAAATAATGACAAGAGTTTAATGAAATGATCACTCATATAGGAAAGTCAAATGTAATGTGTCACGGATTTGGACTTTCATAATGTTGAGATGTGAAGACAAAATGTCGAGGACACAAGCACAGAGAAGTGAGGAGGCAAGGTGGGATGTACTCAAAGGATTTATGACCAAAAAAAAAAAAAAAAACACAATTAAACGTCCAAAAATCATTCAAGTAAAGAAACACAAGACAAACAAAGTTCTCCACACTGAAGGCTATAGAGAAACCATGTCTACGACATATGACAGCAGGGAAATAAATACAAACAAATTCACCAGATGACAAAGCCCACCTGGATAAGACATGACTGGCCGAGGGAGCTGATTGGTTGACACAAGGAAGAAGGCTGATGAGAACAGGTGGCGATAAAAAAAATAAAATAAAAAACGAGTGGAAGAGCCATGAAAATATTCCACAGGGGAATGTGACAAAACATGAAACAAAGCGAAATGTCATCAAAACTACGTCAACAGGAACCACCATTTGTCGCAAGGGATATGTTGGAACTGCCCATAATAGGTGAAACTCATTTCTTTTATGTAGTTTTAGCCCTCCCACACACTTGAAACCCATTTCAAAATTTTTTTAACACAAAACGCTTCTGCCAACTTTATAATTACGCTAGCTTAATGCTAACACATCGGGCCTAATGGAAAACGTCATGTTAGGGCAATTAGCATCGGTGTTACCAAAATGCTAAATATTGACACAACTGCTACTTTAACACCAAGGGAGCAGCAACAGGTACAAACAGAACAAACAGCAATACTCAAACCTCAAGGGCATATATTCTTGTTTTGTGGGGCCATACCTTCCTTCTTCTCGTCCTTTTTCTTCTTCTATGATGTTGCATCTACATTCGATAAAGCTCAGTGTACATTCCGCCACCTAGTGGAAGAACATCATGATCCCTCTTGGCATACCATTTTGGTTTTGGTGGGCTTTTGCATTGTTTTAAATACATGTAGATTTGTTTCATGTTAGGTCTCATTTCCCCATGTCCCATTATTATGTCTTGTTTGCTCATATAGGTTTTCGTTTCCACCTGTTTTCGTGAGCCCTGCTCCTTGTGTCTACCAATCAGCTCCTTCCAGCCATTTCTTCCGTGCCTTGACCAAGCCGGTGATGTAAAACAGCCATATTTCAAATCATCTTTCCCTTTTGAAATGAATGGAAATTCCGTGAATGCATTACTCCCCGAACGAAAATTGGAATGTCTTTTTCAATTCGGAAATAGCCTGCTACATATTGTAGCAGTATGACACATTTGAACAAAACACGTGAAATAAAGAAATAGAATGTAAAGAACTAACTACTGCTCAAATAAAGGTTTCGAACATAGATATTCATTTTAGTAACTAGGCTATGGTGTTTTGCATTGCGTGTTAGCATTAAGCTAGCAAACGTTCCTCAGTCAGTGTGATGTGGTTGCTTAAAATGCACGAGTAATTCTCCTTGTTTTTTGTTTACTGTTGTGTTAATTTCAACTGTAGATGGCATTCAACAGTTTGAAATCTCTTGTTGAAAAATTGTTCGCCATCTTGTTGTGAAGTTCACTCTCACAATGCAGCGCTTGTTTTTCAAATTTTGTCAAAAGCAACTGAAAAAAAAAAAAATCCCATCGCGCATTTTAATTCTGGGCCTGAGTCACAGATAGCATCTACTTACCGGGCTCTGCAAATGTTTACGTTGCGAGCTTCCGCATGCATTTAACACTGCGCTTTGGCGCTAATGCGCGTCTGTAAAGTGTGAAGGAGGCCTCTCCATGGTGCCCACGGCCGCTTCTCTTCTCACGCTGTTTTTAGTAAAATATTAGCCCCCGCAGGCCTGTGCGGGGCGGCTGACAAATAAGAGAGCTGTTGTCTCTCTTCTCTCACAAGGCTGAGGGTTAATGATCCCAGTTTCGGGGGGTTAAAGCCCGCCACTTTCTCTCGCACCCCAGCAGATGTTGCCGGGACTTTAATGTGGTTATCAAATCGGAGTGCCCTCTGAGCCCCGGGAGCTCATTGTGTGCCGGCGCATTCCGGGGCTTTGCCGTGGTGACGAGGCATCCTAGGGGCCAAGCTGGCCTCCCGCTGGCTCCTCAGCGCAGCCCCCTCGGAGCTGACAGCGCCGACCCCCCCCCCCCCC